CATCAATTCACTTCACTTTATTCATATTATCATTGCATCCAAACAACATTATTTTCCATAGCTTTCTAGAGCCAATTTGTGAAGTTTGAGTTGTTCTTGAGCGTATATAGTTTACTCAACATCTACTCTTAAAGAGAGTCTTGTTCTTGAGTGTTCTTAGTGTTGTAAACACGTTTAGGGAAGCTTGTTTCCCTTGGTTGTACGAAGGAAAAGTATTTTCCTTCGGGTTGAAGTCTTGGAGTGCGGTATCTCCGAGCAAGTGTATTGAGGCTCGTGGGACTCGAGTTCTCAGGTTGTAACAGTTTGTTAAGCACCCGTAAGTTTAACAAAAGTAGTGTAGCTCGAGAGAGTCTCTCGGGAGGCTGGATTAGCCACAAGTTGTGGTGAACCAGGGTAAATCTTGGTATGCTCCCTTTACTCCTTTTTATTCCGCTCTTTACTTTATCCCTGCGATTTTTATTCCGCGAAAATTTATAAACATTCTCGTCCCTCACTATTCACCCCCCTCTAGTCCCCCTCTAGTGAAGGGCACTTATTCTAACAGCGGGTGCTTTTGTGGTAGGCCACACCACTTGAGTTATATTTTAATGATGTTTACCTTGGATCCATAATTTCATTTTATGAGACATTTCATTTTGATTATTTGCAGGGCGTGTTGAATCATTTCACATTGCACTCTGGGTATCTTAATGTTTGTCATCACATATGCATCTCCATTTTTATCTATGCTTAGTATGGTACTGTACATTGCTATGAACAAAGATGTCGTGGTGATAAAATATTCAGATGAACACGATTTTGGTCAAGATGCTAAATGGTTTTCCTTGTCTGGTTCCTTTGGGCTTGAATTTCATTCTGCTTATTGCCTATACAATTGTATTGCTTCTAATGGGGAACCATTTATTCGTGTGGATTGTCTTTTCTCCCAAGTAAGCATTCAATGTATCACCCCACTTTACTATGGTTCAAGGAATTTAGAAGGAAAAAAAGAAAGAAAAGAAAATGATTCTCTCATTTTTCTCACCAAAACAAAAGGAGTTTTGTTTTCCCTTTTACTACATTCTGCTTTCTCATATTCTTCTTCTTCCATTTTTCTTTTCTAACCAAACAAGAAAAACTACTTTCCACTTCATTTTCTTTTCTTTTCCCTCTCAAATTCTTTGAACAAAACATTGTGTTAATATTTTTTTGTTAACATTTTTGTTACATTGTTTATTTGAAGATTTTGACACAACAACTCCATGATCAGGTTCATCTGAAGAATATTTTGGCCTGAGGGGTACCTATTTTTTTGTGCAACGTGTGATCTTTAGCTGGATTTTTCGTTTTATTGTGTGAACACTCAAAGTTCATAGCCCAAGTCACCGTCACCTGCCAGTTTCTTCCAAGTTCCTGTCAGTGTGCTGCCAAATCAAAGGTCTAGAACTCAATTCTGATTCTACTTTTATATACAGAGTATATAATAGATAGATCTTGATTAAAAAGTGATGTACCATCAACAATTCTTAAAAAGTAAAGAGAAACAAAATAGGACGAAATGATGAAATTCAAAGTTCATGTTGGATGTAAAGAGAAACAAAATATGAACACTCAAAGTTCATGTTGGATGTCAAAAAAAGTATTCCCGAGAAGTTTAGACCAATTTCTTTTAGTTTCAAATCATTGGAATACTTTGCTTATTTTATACTTAGGTGACGGTTAATCTCCTCATTCCAAACACAACCTTAGATTTTTACCCCAACTATTGAGGTTTAGAAAATAAAATACATTTCTCTAATTTTTTTCAGGTTGTAATCCCACTAAAACTTTAATTGGTGGATGGGCTTCAATGTTGGAACTTACACAATTATTGTCAGATTGTTAGCGCTATTAACATTTCACAGCTCATGCATCTATTTGTCTTGCCTAAATCCGTTTCATCAATGAACCTGGAGCACTTCACTTTAGGGGTCGAACAGCTCTAGAGAAATTGATGGATAGTCATTTACCTCAGGTTTATTTTCTTTCATAACTCCATTATTGAGGTCTTATGCTATTAAGTGATTTACTCCATCCATTCAGAGAACTTCATTTGTTTTGAAAGGAAATATTGTTGGCCAGTACAGAATTTTGAGATAGACTGCTTGAGGAGTGACCTAAATGTGATTCAGTTTGGGCTGATAGGATGGGTTGCACCATCCAGCATTCCAGCTATCAATGGCAGGAGCTTAATTGAGCTCTTCTTTCACAGCATTGGCACTGAGTTGGCCCACCGGCCTAGCTCTCACTTCAGGCTTCTGGTTAGTTACTCAACTACATTATTATCGACTTAACTAACATGATTGTCTATTTTTAAAGTTTATTACTCTGTTCCTTAAAGTTTTTTTTTTTTTAGATTTGACCTGACATGTATATTAAATAATGCTAGACAAAACTGTTTCCTTCTCAAAGAAAAAAAAACTAAAGAGTATGGTCTTACACAACTCTGACATAAACGGAAATACTTGATGCTGCAAAATCGTTTTATGAAGCCACCATGAAATTCCACAACCTGAAGAAGATTTGTAAGGGATATATTAAAGAAAACTTCCAATCTCTTAGCTTTTAGGTTAGTCTGAGTACATGTTAGTGAAATGGTGATGAAAAGCATGATGCTAAGTCATTTTTCATAAAAAATAGAAAAAAAGAAAGAAAAGCAGCTTAACTATTATTTACTTCCCAATCCCCTTCCTCCTCTTCATCTTTCAAATTTCAGCACTTACTATTACCTATGCGCTCCCATAAAAAGTTAAAAGAGTAGTCATGATTTTTTCAATTTATGATAATAGTGTAGATTCTGATAAAATAGAGGGACAAAATATTGAATTTCACTTAATTGTCCTATAAGGTATGCCGCTTTCTTGCATGGGGCTTCTTCTGATGTTGTGTCGTTGCAGTTGACTAACACTATGTTTGGTTCAAGGAATTTTAGAGGGAAAAGAAAAGAAAATGAGAAGGAAAATATTTTTCTTGTTTGGTTAGAGAGGAAAAGAAAAGAAAAGTGGAAGGAAAAGAAAAAGAGAAGGCAATATGCACTAAGAGGAAGGAAAACCAAATTCCTCCCATTTTGGTGAGGAAAATGGGGGAAAACCATTTTCTTTTCTTTTCCTACCAAATTCCTTGAACCAAACATAGTGTAAATGTTCGCCATTCTGTTGCTGATGCTTTGAGATGTCTGAATGTAAGAACAGGAGCAGGTATATTAGTCAAGAAAACATTCATTATAATTTGACCAAAGTAGATTTGATCATATTTTTGTAATGTGGCTCCTATGTTTAAAGGGATTGGTTGAATTGGGAGAGTCTATCCTATCCTAGTTGCAGACCTCTTAATCTGAACTAACTTAGAAGCAGAAGATTTAAGTGTTAGCTGAATCTTGACATGCGCAATGCTCCTTTCTCAATCTCCCGTTTTGAAATCTGATGGTGTAGCAGCTACCAATGGACGACAAGATCATAGGAGGAGCAACTTCCAGTGACAACCCAAAGCTAAACCAGCAGCGGATCCAAGGTTTGGACGGTTTTGTGTAGATAAATTATAAATTGATCGTTTTTGGAATCAATATAACTATTTTGTGGATTTTCTAATTCTAGACAAAAAATGCAAGGAATTGTAAAGGCCATCCAAGGGTTTCCAGCCTACACTCGCCTATCGAGGATAAGTGGGGTGCAATAACAGACAATGGTGGATTATGAGAAGTGGTAACACCCTTTCCATTTTCATAATTTTTTTTTTTTTTAATATTTGAGGAAGGAGTCCTTGAAAACATTGTAGAAACTACATAAGAATCATTTGTGACTAAGATTTGCTGCTAACTGCAGTAAATTCCTTCTATAAATCACTTGCCGTATATCTCTGTACATTCTTTTGGCTACATATATATATATATATATATTATTAATATCGTAAAAATTAATAATATATATGCTTGAGAGTATGCGAAGACCAGCCCTCCAGTTTTGGAATAGTTTATATGCTTGAGAGATGACTAACTAATCCAACTCTGCTCTACTCAGCAACCAGAACCCCGGCCAGCATCCTCTCACATTTTTAAAATACTACGCAGTGTAATGTTTTTGGTAATCTCTGAAATTTTCCCTTCGAAATATCGACGGATTGTATGATGTATTCCAGTATCAAAAAGATTTACTCCCTCCGTCCTATAATGATCTTCCCGGTTCGCAAAACGAAGAAAAATCCCAAGTTTTTTCAATCTATTTTATTTAAATATTAGTATAGAAATAAAAAATAAAACATACATATTTAAAAACTACATCAAAAGTTCAACAAAACAAGTGGTGACAAGAATATTTTATTTTATCATATAGGCTATGAAAAAACACAAATAAATATAAATTCTCGTGAAGTTGGAATAGTGCTCTGGGAAGATCATTATAGGACGGAGGGAGTATGTTTCAAAGGCTTTTATTTCATAAATAAGACTAATTTTATCTTCAAGCTATAAACAATGAAAACAGTAAACCACTACCACATGGAGGCATGTCAAGCTTTTACCAGTAAAAATTTAAAGTACTACTCCCTCCGTTTGGAAAAACACTTCCCATTTGGATTTGGGGCAAAAATAAGGAAGTGTTAAATTATAGTTGATTTCCAATTTTGCCCCTGATGTGATGGGTAAAAGTAAGATGTGATGGATACATTATTAGAAAAAAAATATGATGTGATAGGTAGGGTATGAAAAAGTAAGGGTAAAAGTGGTTTTTTAATAGAAAAGGGAAGTGTTTTGTTGGAAGTGGAAACAAATGAAAGAGGAAGTGTTTTTGAAAACGGAGGGAGTACAATTTAATAATTTTAGATATGGATAAAAATATAAACTTAATAAAAATGTGAAATTAATTTTGAAACTTGAAAGATAGAATTTAAATCAAGTGACAGGTAAAAAGATAATCACCCAAAACCTTAAATCTTCGTTGTTGATACTTGATAGACCGGAAATTAGCGATTGGCAAAGCACCTTGAGGCTTGGAGGCTGGAGTCACCGGTGATTGCAGCTCGGACGGTCAGCGTCTCTGCGATTTGCGAATGGATGGTCACCGCCTCTGCGCCTCTGCCGGTCAAGTCACAGGCAATTGCCGATTATGGAGAATATGCGATTGCGATTGGAGAATGGAGATTTGGAATTGGAGTTCTAGAGAGGTGGAGAATTTTTGAGAAAGTGGAAGAATAGGAAGATAGAACAGTGATGGACTGATGGTCTCGATTATTTTACCTTTTAGGAGGAGTGAACCCAGTGATAGACTAACAGAATAACTCCGTGGTCTCGGTAGGTCTGGACCGAATGATATTCGGGTTTGGACCGAATAGACCAAAACCCGAAATTGTAAAATTGGTGGACCGAAGACTGACCGAAATCCAATCAGTCCGGGTTCGGTCTGGACCGATTGGTCCATTTTGGTCGGTTTTTTCGATCTAGACCTAAATGTGAATAGCCCTAGCTATGCCCCACTGGCCATGATATTGTAGATCGCAATGAAGTGCATTTAACCCTTTGGCTGTAATGACTCAATGTAATACTCCAATAAGATTTCATTGTGAGTTATGTACTCCGTATTATAATATTACTTGCAATTATGTCTACATTTGGAATAACTTATTGAGCGATACACATATAATTGCAGTTATTAACATAATTGATACTTCATACTTCCAATATTTTAATTAGTGCTTATAACCAACATGAGATAAATAACGTTATACTTTTTTCTCATTAAGTTGTGATATTATAAGTTTTGATGAAAAGGCAATTACTCCATATTTTATAAATTTTATAAGAGGAATGTCATTTTTATTGTTGTTGTTATTATTACTATTATTATTATTATTACTCTATAATTTACGGAGCATATATTAGTATTTTATATATAACTCCCAAATTTCAAATTAATCAGAAAGTAATTACCGGGGTGAAGGACTAGTAACTTTAATACCATAACTTTGGTCCATACCAAAATACTCCGTAGTTCAGACCTCCAAACGTACCCTACAAACGCACACCCCCAACCTAGCCCTCACTCGCCAGTATAGCTCCCCAATTACATCCCAAAATTTTGAAATTACTCCGTATTTTGAAACAATGGATATATATATATATATATATATATATATATATATATATATATATATATATATATATTTGTTTGCCAAAAATGAATATACTCCGTATATTTGTATATATTTGTCAAATGGGTGTTGAACGGTCAAAGCAAAGGGTTACCAGATCACACATGTATGGCTGACACATCATTTTCACTATTTTGGATTTTTGGTTCAATGAATTAGGAAGAAATATAGAAAATAATTTCCTATCCTCTTAATATATTTTACTTTTTTCATTTTTTTTTCTTTTCCCAAACATACTATTCTAGATGAGGAGGGTGAAATAATGCAATTCAATCCCGTAGTGCCAAACGGACACCAAAGCAATAAGAAACCTCGTTTTTTTGACTCATTTGGAGCAAAGGGATGTCACGATTTTCTTTCCTAAGGGTTTAGAAGATGACAAATACTTGTCCACTCCCATTTTTGCACACCATCCAATACACTTCTTTAATCTATTTTATTTTGTAATTTGTATATTAAAAAATTATAGATATTATATATTAATAATCTATATGTTAAGACAAATCAAACAAGATCACACATGACTATATTTAGTCTTACACATTGAAAGAATTTGATGAGTCAAAATGCTTAGATTAACAGTTCTAAAAGTCAAAAGTGGACGAATATAGCGGGACGGAGGGAGTAATTCTTAGCAAGAACACTTTGACTCATTTGGAAAATACCAAATACTTACTCCTTCCGTCCTTAAATAGATTGTATTTCCTTCAGACTATATTTAGTCTTACACATTGAAAGAATTTGATGAGTCAAAATGCTTAGATTAACAGTTCCAAAAGTCAAAAGTGGACGAATATAGCGGGACGGAGGGAGTAATCCTTAGCAAGAACACTTTGACTCATTTGGAAAGTACCAAATACTTACTCCTTCCGTCCTTAAATAGATTGTATTCCCTTCGTCCCCCTGTATTTGTCTACATTTGACTTTTGGAATTGTTCATCTAAGCACTTTGACTCATCAAATTCTCTCAATGTGTAAGTCTAAATATAGTCATGTGTGATCTTGTTTGATTTATCTTAACATATAGATTATTAATATATAATTTTTATAATTTTTTAATATACAAATTACAAGATAAAATGGATTAAAGAAGTGCATTGGATGGTGTGCAAAAATGAAAGTGGACAAATACATGGGGACGGAGGGAGTAATTTTTTTCTCTCCTCTCGATAACTTTTGTTTGTTTACGCAATTTTATTAAGTATTTGATAAAATAAAATATTCTTGTCACCTCTTGTTTTGTAGAACTTTTAACATAACTTTTTATAATATGTAATTATTATATCTTATTAATATATCAATTTGTAAATAAAATGATTTCAAAAAGTAAATTTTTTTTACTCTGTAACCCGAAATTTGTAATCAAATTGGGGAAGAAGGGAATATCATCTTAGTTGACATCAAACAAGACAACAACCTTAAACATAGTCATGAATTTCACAGTGAGCAACCTATTGAAATAAGGGGTTCGCCAGCCCACTCCCAAAGTATCACCTCAAAATAAATTTATAACAAGAACAAAAATTTAAGGTAGTGATTGGCAACTAGAATTTCATTTCAATTAATATATTTCAATTTCAAAATTTGAAATCTTGAATTTCAAATGACAAGGAGAGGCGCATAGATTTAAAATTAAACTTTCTTATGAATGAGAAGAATTTGATTCAAGTTCAAAATTTGTAAGTTTTCCAAATATGGAATTTGAGCCAAATCCGAATTTGAAATCAAAATTCATGTTCCCAAACATACCATAAAGAAACTTCAGAAACGAGACACAATGAAAAAACAAAAAGGAAATTTATCAAGTCATCTAAGATGAAAATAAAATCATACTCTGTAATTACTAAATAAAATAGAGAAATAACTTAAGTTGTAGCATTATTTAGTGCAAATATTTCAATAAAATATATCAATAACTCATATCAACTTGTGTATACTTTTTTTTCTTTCTTTTTTTTTTCTTTCATGGAATATGAATATACAATCTGGTAAGAGTAATGCTAGAGTCACAAACAAAAGTTCGCAAAATACACAAACTTACCTTTTTAACACTTTCTTAGAAATAAAATGCACTCAGTAAATTTGTGAAGTTTGTGACTATAGCATTTTCGATCTCGTAATCAATTTGGTCCGTCCTTTTCATCAAAACTTATAAACTATCCGATCTCCTCGTCCCTCCTTGTGCTCCATAGTCCTAGTCGTACTCCTGAAAAATCCAAATTATAGAATTAATGACATCATCATCCTATCTAATTAATTTAGCCACAAATTAAATACTCCCTCCGTCCCACTGTCTTTGTCCACTTACATTTTGGCACATCATCCAATGCACTTCTTTAATCCATTTTATCTTATAATTTGTATATTAAAAAATTATATATTAATAACCTATATGTTAAGACGAATCAAACAAGATCACACATGACTATTTTTAGTCTTACACATTGAGAAAATTTGATGAGTCAAAGTGCTTAGATGAACAGTTTCAAAAGTCAAAACTGGACAAAGTACATCCAATTTATGAATAATATTAAATCAAAATTAATAAACTTACAGCAATAATCTGAGAAGTCTCCAAACATCTCGGATAACATCGTCCAACCATCCTGGCTAGTCCTCCCAGAGGGACTAGACTCGAAGTAAGGACGGTTGTCGGCATGGGAGAAGAGGGGACAGATGGGGCAAGGTCGGATGCATCCCGGATGGAATGCATGGCAACAATGTGGCACCCAACCCACCTCATCGCCACTAGCAATGTCAGTGGAACAGACCACGCACGACGGTAGCGGTGGAGCGGAAGGTGCGGTGGCTGATGAGGCGGCGGGGAAGCTGGCTGCTAGGGTGGCAACTGTGGGGTCCGGTGCGGGGGCGGAAGGACCGGCCGGTGCAGCGACAGGTGGCCCGGCCGGTGTGGCGTCACATTTGGGGGCGGGTGTCTTGGCCGGTGCTGTGACGGGTGTGGCATCAGCTGTGGCGGAGGTGGAGGGCTTGGGGGCGGGTGTCTTGGCGTCACATTCGAGATGCCGCCGTGCGGCGACGGCAACGGCTGCCGGTGCATCCCCTGGGGGCTGTTCGTCGGCCAGTGCATCCACCCCACTTCCTTCGCCCTCCCCAACCTGTGCCTCTCCGACGGGGAGTGCCTCAAGAAGGGGAGCGGCAACCACTGCGCCCGCTTTCCCAACCCGGGCGTCTCCCACGGGTGGTGCATCGAGTCCTCCGTCGCTCCCAATGGTCACTTGAAGATGGTCACCGACAACTGATTCACTGCCTGCCATGATTAATCACCGTCATCCCGTGATGATTAGTGAAGTTTAATTATGCTGCTAAATAAATCGAAGAGTTGCAGTGATAATAATAATAATAATAATAATAATAATAATAATAATAATAATAATAATAATAATTGGTAGTTAATTGTGGGCGTGTTAATTGTTAAGTTCAGTTTGATGAGTACGTACGAGGTTGTGCGGCGGAGGTGGAAGTGGTGGCCGCTGCGGCGGTTGTGGAGGAAGGGGTGGCGGGTGCGGCGGAGATGGAGGTGGCAATTGTGGCGGCCGGTGCGGCGGAGGTGGAGGTGGCAGCGTCAAGTGGGTTGGCGGCCAACGGAGCCGCCGGTACGGCGTCAGGCAGTGCGGCGGCCGCTGCAGCGGCGGTTCGCCTTGCCGGTGGCCGGTTGGCGACGGCGGAGGGGGAAGTTCCCGCCTTTCGGCCACGGCGGAGTAACCATCCTATGACTATGATGAGCAATATGGAGAGAACGATTGTGAATCCGACGATCCACAACGACAACCAGGAAGAGGTGTCTGTCTGATCGGAAGTTGTGAGGAGGCGGCGACCCGACGACATTGTGACCGCGGCTTCCGATATTCATCCTCCTCACCGGCCTCCGTCATTTTATCCCGAACTAGCTTACCGGAAGGAGAAAGTACTCTTTTAGGAAAGTTAATCCGTTGCCAATTGGATCCAATCTTATACTACTGACATTATATTTCCTCCATCGCCTATCAGCCATTGGATTCAATCTAACATCTTACATCCATCGCCCATCAGCCATTCGATCAATTCTAATATCTGACATCATCCTACGCACGGCATAATGGCAGACTATATTCTCTTATACAAATTATTACCTACAGTATTATTATACGGAGTATTTTGGAAAGTTATGTACACGGTACACCATTAATCCTAACTACTAGTATTTGATTTCTTTTTTTAGGGAGTACACCTTTTGGTGTACCCTAAATGTACACCACCCCTTTTCTATCATACATTTCTATTTTATTTTTATTTACTTGTTTTTTTTTAAATTTTTTTGCCTTTTTTAGTGGACAAGGAGGGAGTAGGGGATATATGGGGTACACCTTTGATCTACCTCTAGCATTTTTCTTCTTTTTTTCATCATTTTCCATTTTTTTCCTTGTTTGCATTTATATTTTTCATTTTTTTCCCACTTTAACATTTCTATGGTGGAGATGGGAGGGGTACAACAGTTGGTGTGTTCCTTAAAAAATAATCACACTATTCGTTGTTAGAGAAATTAATATTACTCCGTATCTTTTTTCATATGTGCAAGTTTGAGTGGCCGCTAGGCTACTAACGGCTACATGATAGGATTTTGAGAAAGGATTATGCTATGTGTACCCCAAGGTTTGTACCCCAATTTGTACCCCACAGTTTTGCACCAACACTTTGTGTTGGTGTAAAACTAATTTTTGTTAAACACACCAACATTTGTGTCCGTGTGAATTTTTATTAACGCACCAACACTTGTGTCGGTGTAAACCATCGAAATGTTTGTGCAAACTTGTGGTGTACATATGAGGTATATTTTTTGGTGTAAGTGTAACATGGTCCTTTGAGAAAACATTTGTTTTTTGCATATAAACCAAAAGTCAAATTATTTTAGAGTAATTCTCTTTTTTTAGATCATTTTGTTAATAATTATTTTTTAATAAATCACTATAATTTTTAATAAATTATATGGAGTAATAATTTTCTTGAGTGCATTTCTAGTTGTGTTTCTATAATTGTGTATTAATGCTTTTTGCAAAACAATATAACAACAATTGTGAAAATAACACAATTAATTTTCTTTGAAATTGAACTTTTATATTTATAATTCACTACGTTTTTTGTTATATTGCAATTTGTTTCATGAACAATATAACTAGAAATACTTATCGAGGGTAGGGAGGGGGCGGGAGGGGGGCTGGGGTGGGGGGCAAGGGTGGGGCTGGGGGTGGGNGTGGGGGATTTAGGAGGAGGGTTAGGGCGGGTAGGAACCGTCGTTTTTACAAACGGGGCATCATAGGTACTCCAAATGAACTGGTGTAAGCAAATGACACAGTAGCATTGGTGTCATTTTAGACTTACCGTGTATGTATGTATGTGTGTGTGTATATATATATATACACACACATACATATACACGGAGTATATAATAGATCCGTATAATGATTTCCCTTTAAATAAATAAAAATGAATTAAAGTGAACTCCCAATGTACATATTCCCACGGCCAAATTATTTTCAATGCACTTGTCATTTACTCGTTCCATTTGCTCCGTATCATATGTCTCATGAAATAATTAAATTTAAATTGTAAACAAAAGAAATCAAACAAGCAATAAATGTAAATGAATACAGCTAATGAATTGGTGCATTTTTTTAAGAAATCATTTGAATATATCAACAAAACAGGTAAATACAGTAAAATAAAATGCTTTCGGTTACATTGATTTTGGACTGTTGGGTTAAATTGTTTTTTTTGTTAATTTTTTGGTTTCTATATTTTGGAATAATTTGGAGAGCTTGCTAGTTCTAGCAAGTCAGTTATTCTTTGACAAGTATGATGAACAAAAACATAGTGGACCACACTCATCTCTCCAAAAATTTCTATATGGCGAGGGTAAGGGTATCGTCTTAAAATTAACTTTTCATTTTAATTTTCTAGACAATTTTTTAAAATTTTGACTGAGTATTACAGAAAAATACACTCAACTTTCATACAAAATGAGTGAAATATAATTTTAAAACATTTTTGTTTTTATAATATATGATCATATATAAATAGAGATTAATGATCAATATATTACGTTAGAGACCGTGAAAAATCAAATGAAAAGTTAATTTTAGGACGAAGAAAGTATAATACTGTACAAAAAATTTACAACAAATCCCACAACACCCCATTTGAGGTACACATGCTCCATTCGCAAATTTAATTGTTCATAACCCTTGACCCCTCGGTGAACCCCCAAGCCTACCCAATAGCAAATGCACACCTACACTTCCTCCATTTGCACAACCTTAAATTTTGAGTTATATTGCACCAACGCCCCTTGTAGTTTGGTAATTGTGCACTATTGTTGTTCATGGTGTTGATTTATTAATTCACTCTTAAGGAATAATTGTGTACATGGATGTTTATATAGGTGAGGATCCGTACATGGACTAGAATTCACCAAATAAGTAAACTAACATAAATAACAATTCTACTATAACTAGACTTCTTTCCATATATGTCTAACATCTCTCCTCAAGCTGAACGCCGTGAAATGAGGGGAAGCTTGGCAACCAATGCAGTGTAGCGTGGCGAGGCAAGAGCTTTTGTGAGAAGGTCTGCCAGCTGCTCATTAGAAGGAACATAAGAGACCGTCATTTTCTCTGCAATTACTTGTTCTCGTACAAAGTGACAATCCGTTCCGACATGTTTCTTGCGCTTATGGAAGATTGGATTCTTAGTCAGACAGATGGTGGACTGGTTGTCACATAGAAGATGTGGAGGAGGGAGCTTGATCTGTAAAATGTCAAACAAGTAGGTGAGCCACATCACCTCAGCTGCTGCGGCCGAGAGGGCTCTGTACTCGGCTTCGGTGGACGAGCGTGAGACACGACTTTGTTTCTCCGTACTCCAAGAGAGTAAATTAGAGCCAAGATATATCAAGTAACCTGTAACGGACCGTCCATCTGTCATATCGTTGGCCCAATCAGAATCCGAATATGCGTAGATGGTCTGTGGGCCTCGCCGGAAGACCAAACCACGATCAATGGTTCCTTTGACACATCGCAGGATGCGTGTCAAGGACTGAAAATCTTGCTCCGTAGGTGCATGCATCCTTTGACAAACGTAATTCACAGCAAACTGAATGTCCGGACGCGTGTTTGTCAAGTATTGGAGAGAGCTAACCAAACTCCGGAAAAAGGTGGGATTGTCGAACGGACGGCTCACCCCCTCCCCGGGCTGCCGGGCGGGTAGGGGCCGGTTTGCAATTCTCGACTCCTGCTTTATGGAGAAGTTCCCGGGCATATTTTTCTTGGGATATGAGCAGATGATCCTTTGTGCATGTGACTTCAAGGCCAAGAAAGTAGTGAAGAGGGCCAAGATTCTTCATTTGAAATTCCTTCTGCATAGCCTCGGTGAATGAAGAGATAAGAGCTGAGGTACTGCCGGTGACAATAATATCATCAACATAGAGAAGGACAATGAGAATGCCAGAGGGAGAGTGCTTAACAAAGAAGCTGGTGTCATGAGAATGCCAAAGGGAGACGCTCTTTTAACTGAAATATATGAGTTCGTGAAAGAGAGTTATACCGTTGTTCTAAATGATTCCAAATTGCAAGTGAGGTGGGAAGAACATGAATATGTGTCTGAATCGTAGGTGAGACAATAGCAAGGAGACATGCCCGAATTTGAGCGTCAACAATATGCCAGGATTCATAGGCCGGATTTGGTTTCATAACCGGCGGTTCATCCTTTCCTGGTGACGCAGCCTTCTCATCAAGAATAAGAGACGGAGGAGACATGGTTCAGATCCATCCACATAGCCGAGAAGACGATGAGCGAGGAGATTTGCACGGACGGTGGCTCACCAAGAGGGATAATTGGTGTCATCAAGCTTGACCGAGGTTAGAGATTGAAGATTCCAGACAAACAACTTGAGACCCGTAGAGAGACGATCCATAGGATCAGAAGAGACAGACGCCATGGCTGTGCACGACGTGATCGGAGAGCTCGGCTCTGCTGTTTTTTTCTTCGATGATTAACGCAGCAAGGGAGGAGAGAAAAAAGGATCTTTAAGCTCTAATACCATGTTGATTTATGAATTCACTCTTAAAGAATAATTTTGTACATGGATGTTTATATAGGTGAGGATCCCTACATGGACTAGGATTCACCAAATAAGTAAGCTAACATAAATAACAATTCTACTATAACTAGACTTCTTTCCATATATGTCTAACACATGGTTTTAAAACTTATGCTGTTGTCCCTCATTGTTCTGATATTGCTACACCAATGACCATTTAGACAAAAATTTCTTTCAAATATTAGGCGAATAACTCCATTTTTTCCTATGAGTTAATAAAGTATTTTAAAAGCATAAGTTTAAGCAGTGGCAGATCTTGGAATTGAGGTAGATGGTGGCAGTTGGTAGGGAGTCCGGGGGCGTTGCCCCCAAAATATATGAGATGACAAAAAAATATTAGATTTTATTTCAACCATTTAGTGAATGTTAAACATTTATTAATAGGTAATGTAAAATTTAATTTCATAAACAATTAATTATGTGTAATAAAATACACTTTACAAAAAAATAAATAAAAATTTAATTTAGCTTGATTAAATGGGATTACATGAACTTTTGTTGGGGGCATATGTACATAAAAAAATTTAAAAAAAAAAACTTTTACCTTATAACAAAAATTAGTAGGGGGCATATGCCCCCAACTACAGTAAGGTGCGTCGCCACTGAGTTTAAGTATGTGAAAGTTACACCAAATGAATATCACCTAAACTTACTCCAAAGTCAATATTAACAAATGAAAATGTACAATTAATTTATTAATTTAATATTTTAGTCATAATGATACAAAATTTTAAAAATCAACATAAATTAAGTACAATGTTGGTCTAATTTAGAATAATGTTATACTGTTATTGCCCACCCCTATCCAAAACGCCAAAGGCTGACTTAAAGCGTGTGGAAAATGAAGCCATATGAAGGGAATCGCCACTATCGAAGGAGAAGCCAAGGAGCTTGCAATTGGGTTTAAGTGGGCCGGTTACTTCCCCAAAACTATTTGGGCCCATAGAGACTCAAAAATGATCATGAAATCTTCTCATAGGACTTATACATGGAAAAAAATTCAACGGAAATTTCATCATAAAGGAAAAATGGAAGTTTTGAATAAGTCAAACTATAATAATGGAAAATAATTTTATAATGAAAATACAAATAATCAATCATCTTTATATAAAAAGAAGGTAGAGCAAATAAGTGGGGATGTTAACATTTAGATCCAGTGAAAAAAATCGACCGGACTGGACCGTTAGGTCCAAACCGAACCTAATCCGAGTGAATTTCGGATTGATCTTCGGTCCAGAAAATTTAGGCATATGAGTTTTGGTCCGGTCCAATCAAAACCCCAAAATGATTTTGGTCCGAACCGATTGGACCGAATGAACTTAAAACACCCAAATACTAAAACTCTACTTAATAAGTTTTGTATTACACTTTGATGCTCTATTTTAAAAGATATCTTAATTTATTTAATTAAAAAGGTTTTTATTAAGTAATTTAAAAAATCCAAAAAAAATGTTTCATATTAGTTTTTATGATTCTACATAGAAGTAGTTCATATTGTGTATCTATTTTAAGGTTGCCTATTTTTTCATTCATTTTATATTTGAATGGTACAAATTAAACAACTAAAATATATTTAATTGATCAAAATAATATAAAAAAATATGTACTTTTTTTCAGTCAAATCGGTCCAGACCGGTTCGGTCCTAAGTATTTCGATCCGGTCCTGTCCAAACCTGAATAGATTTAGGTCCAGTCTTCAATTCGTTAATTTGTTCAATTTGCTCTTTGGTCCGGTCCGGGTTGATCCGGTTTAGTATGGTCTTGGATCGATGAAGAACCCTACAAATAAGTATAGTATTATTCCTACCATAATTCTGTTCGTACTATAACAAGAATAAGAAAAACTAGGAAAACTAAATCTAAGTTGTCTAAATTTAAGGAAAAAAATAATTAAGGCAAAAATAACATCTCCATATTTGGTTGGACCCTTAATTATGAAATTGTTAAATGTATCTTTTACTTGAAAAAAATAAAAAAAAGAAAAAGAAATGTAGTTTTTGTTATTGATGATGTAAATTAACAATACTAAGCCTTCTATTCTCAACTGTGCAAATTTGATATTCCTTATAAACTAAAACTAATATTTCACCCATGCGATGCACGGGAAAATATTATCTTATAAATTTTAGGGTAAATATAAAATATATCTTGAACTCTTAGCGTAAAACAGTGATAGAGTTCAGAACTGTAAATACAAAGTACTTAGTATTATTTTTTGTTAATAGTATAAAATAATATGGAAGTAATAAATTTTTATAATATGGAAGTAATAAATTTTAATAAATTGAATCAGATTAACATACATATAAGAATGGGTTAAATGTTTAAATATATTGCAAATTGTATTGGACATTTTAAAGTTAATAACTAAATAATAAGTCTATACTGAATAACTTAAATCTAAAACTTAAAATATGTTTTTAAATTTTAGAAATTATTGTTGTTTATTTATTGTATCAGAATCTTGAGATTTTGCCTGAGAATATACTACGCAGTATAAAAGTGAATTTAGACAACCAAAAGTGTAAACGTAAAGTATTAGTAATGTTACATTGGTTTATGTATCTAAGCACTCCCTCCCTTCCATATCTTTCTTGTTAGAGCATTATTCAAACTTTACGAAAACTTGTGTGTAAGTAATGTAACTACATTTTTCTTGACCTATATAATAAAATAAAATATTTTTGTCACTATTTGTTTTGTTTAACTTTTGATGTAATTTTTTAGTATATATGTTTCTTTTTTTATTTTTATACCAATCTTTTAATAAAATTGATTACAAAAATTTGAGATTTATTTATTTTTACACAACGCAAAGAAAAATATAGGACAGAGGGGTACTATTTTTTAGGAGTATTAATGTTTCAAACAAATCTAATTTCGAAACACCTATATCTAAAAGGGCCAACGATTTTCTTATCTATAGGGTTAACAAACATGTCACAATTTATAAGCCATTCGGATGTCTGGAAGTTAGGTACTGTGAGGAGAAACATATTTAATGCCTTTTCAAAATGTTATTGACATCTCGTTTCTTAGAGAACGGCTATTTTTTAGTTCTCATTTCTTAGTGAATGGCTGCTTTTCATTCCCTACAATGGCATTGTAGCTAGATCTCTTTGGGGTGGTCTTGGAGAACATTGTACATTTTGGAGTGTGTTTGTTTAATTTATTGTCATCTAGACATCCCTCTCACACATTAGTTAGATCAGTGAATGTGTGAATAACACTACAAGAAACTTGGTTTTTCACCGCACTTTAAATTATTGTTCGCCACACTTGTAAACGTGAAAAAAACAATTTACTACACATGTATTAAGTGTGACTACATAGATGTGAGGAATTCTTTGCCGCACTTACTGGGAATCAAAATATCATATCATCATCTCCCCAAGAAATTTGTATCTCAGAGGCTAGCTCAAGAAAAACATTGTTCTTTTCATCCTTTCTTGATTTTTTTTTTATCAAAGGACTTTAGTTTCTAGATGAATTGACAGGTTGTGAACTTTAGGGGCTAAAGATGTTGGCTTAACCAAGTAAACATATTCTGTAAAAGAGGTAGGGGCTTCCTTCTTTTGTGAGGGATTTACTGAAACAACTATCACTATACCTATTACCAAGGAGGATTGCTGATGGTTGTGCCTTGTAAATCTCATCTTCGTTTTGCTCATATACACATAACTACGAAGCACCACAAATAATATATAAAATGCTTCTTCTTCTTCTTCTTTTTTTTTTAATTTTTTGGAGCAATATTTAAATAAAAAAATATTGTAAACTGTATCAAGAATAATTAAAAGAACATACACAGGTGGTAGAATTATGCCATAGAGTGACTTGTATTTCCACAACCAACTCCAACAGTCTGCATAAGCAAGTGGCATAAAATAATCCTTTGCTTTTGCAGCTACGATCTTCATCCTCTAAAGATGTGGAAGAGAATTATTTTGTTTTCAGGAAACAATGATTTATCTATTCAAATAAGAAGGAAAATTTCAATAAGCTTCCCTATCCCTCCAATGAATTACTTGGATCCATACTATTAATCCAAAGGTGATACCTTATTGGTTTCGATTGCTGTCTCGGACGTGATCGGCCTTTGATGTTAGCCTCTGGTTTCGAAGACAAAGTCACTGCCAAGGAATAAGTTGGCATTTCACAAGAGTGTACTTAGACTTCCAGTGTGAATGCATCTTCCCTTTAGGTTGATCTGATGACTCGCCCTCCAACTAAGAACCATGAATGTCATTCACCACCACCTAAGCCATGTCAAAATAGCACTAATTTCTAATGGATGTTTTGCCTCGACAGTATACAGTTAAGAACCATGAATGCCATTCACTGGCGCCTATGGGACATGAGTGAATGTCAGGGGATACGTACTTGTCACTTTGATCTATCTGAAAGTAAAAACCCCATTGGACCTTATCTTTGTTTGTAAGAAATATAGAAACTCATTTAATGAAACAAACATTAGAATGCAAAGGTATTACCTCAGTGGACAGGATAATAAAGCAAATGCTTTGGTCACCTGATTTTCATTCCTAAAATAGGAATGCATATCAAATCAGTTGAATCAGCCCCTTCTTTAACTTTCATTTTAAGAAGGGGATTAAAATCAACCTCAAAAGGAAGTGTTCCTATGTTGCTAAACGAGATCTTTTTAACCTCAAATAAAGAAACAACATGTTGAGTTTATTTTAAGCATTGAAACATGAAAAACTTAATTCCTTGCAAATTAAACCTATTTGACCGAGTTTTTATGCAAAATGCGATCTGATGAAGGGCACTTTGGAGTAGGGATTCTGCTAAAATCAGTGATTCATCTTTAGATTCAACTTTTAGAAACCTTTGCACATAAGGCATATTAGGCCTAAAGGAAAATATAACTTTTCCAAACATAGGGTTTCTAAAAGTAGAAAAGAATTGAAAATTTTCATATGTTAAGACCTCTAGCAATTTGATTTGAACAACCTTTGAATAATCTCTTATAGTTCTTACATCAAATTCAGTTTGTTCCTTTTCAAGTTCAAGGAAGCGATATCAACATCAAAGTGAATGCCAACTTTATTATTTTGATTATGTTCTAAACGGTCAGATTCATAACTTTGGAACCCACTAAGATCATGAAAAAGTTTTTCCAATCCATATTCAGTTTCACTTTTAGAATCAGCCACAAAACTTTTAAATTTTTCGTGAGAATCAATTCCAAACTCTACTTCTTTTTCAAAATCAGCCTTTAAAGGTACAAGTTACTTCTGAAAATCATCATCAGCACCATACTCTTGAAAAATCAGCCACTAAAATTGTAAATTCAGTCCCTAATTCAAATTCTTTTTCAAACTTAGCTTTTAAAGGTTCACTTTGGCTAAGAAAATCAATTTTAAATTCTGATTCCTTTAAAAAATCAGCCTCTAAAACTTTAATTTTCTTTTGAAAATCAGCTTGTAAATCAATTTCCATTCAAAAATTAACCCCTAGAGCTTCAGATTTATCTTGAAACTCATATTCCCGGGCTGTTTCACTCCCAAAATCAGCCCTTAAAGTTATACTCTATCAATTTAATTACATTAATCTACACTTTGTTATCAATTCTAACATATAGGTGGTAAGTTCCCCTGAATGGGTGACCCATTTACTTATCTGTTGATCAATTTTGGAGGTTACCTATCTCAAACATGTCAAATAATAAAGTTAGCTAGAGAGGAACAACCAATAGTTTGTTGCACTTAGTATAGAGTATGCCATAGAATTCGAAGCCATATAAAAGTAACTTTAGAGCCATAGAGGTACCTGAATAGGAATTGACCCAAACTTATATACCGCATCCACTCACCACCGACCATGATATTGTTCCAGATAAGAAAGTCTAGCTACCTTGATGTCCAAACACCAGAGTTGTCTGCTCTGGTTGTCGTCATCGCCTGGTCGCACACTCTCTTAGGCCTATCTTACATGTTCCTTTTTGTTCTTCGTACATCACTTGCAACCAATATTGCATGATCTTTAAGAAGAACACAATTGCAACTTGCAAATGCACGAGCTCAAAAATAGGTTCAATCCAATTCCAAGCACAACTTTATAAGTTTAAGTGTGCGCTTGGTACAGAATACTTGGCTAACAAGCAGTACTTGTTAGATAAATTATCCTATATTTGATTAACAATTCATTAAACTAATTATGTGCATTTAATTTTAGATTCAGAAAACCATAAACATCAAGTTTAATTAAACTTTGACTCACCCCTTAGATTTGCATCTATATAGAATTCCATCTTCTTCTGATGACGCAAGTCATAACCCAAATCCTCCCTTGTTGATGGCACCCAAAGCTCATCATCATTCTACTGAACATCCTCCACATTAGAAGAATTAATCGTTCATAATAAGACCTCTTGATACCTATTTCATTTTCAGACTCAAAAAAGAAAGAAATCAGAGAGAGGAGAAGAGCACAACAACAGTTCTTTAATGAGAATTGTCAAAATTGTCAAGGAAACCATTTCAAACACCAGCCAATAAAAATAAGATTTGTACTTTATTAGCTTGATTGATCTCAATTAGTGATGACTTTAGTGTATGCTTATAAAAAATATATATGTCTTGTATTCACCTTTCATTAAAAATGTTTTTCCTTTTATATCTGTTTATATTTAACATCTCCCTAATTAACATCACTAATTGGGGATGGAGAATTTGCGGATAAGTAGAACCTTTTTCAGGTTGATTATGATTTGAGTTATAAATCAAGGAGAAACAAAAGGAAAATTATAAAGAAGATCAATTTACCGATTTCTCGGATGCAAATCATCGTCGATATCCACAATCTAAGGATCCGGTCGTTGCCATCGCTAGCTTTGTCACCATGTTGTTCTTCGTCCACCGTCGTTTTGGTATTTTGGACGGAGTCAGCGGCGGGCCTCCCTGTTTAAACATCTGCATGGTGATTGAGGTTGGCGGTTGAACTGGGTTTGATTGCACCTGTTTTGGTTATCGGTTTTGAGCACAGACTTGAAGGGACGAATTGCATCATCCTTGCCGCATTCGCTTGATCCTGGGCAGTTGAAGAGAGTCGTGAAAGGACAATTTTGTTTTTTTAAAATTATCTGCGATTTTGTAAAGATTTGGGATGAAAATCAAGGGCCTAGATTTCTCTTCTCTAAACAAAATCAAAATTGGGTCGAAGGTAGGGTTGTGTGCCCTGGATTGAATTGTTTTTTGATGGAATGAAGGCAGAGGTATAAGAGAACTAAGAAGATGATAGTTCATATAATCATATTGCCTAGACTTTCAGACTAAATGCAATTCAGGCTTATTGTTTATTCTAAAGATCCTTGATTCAAATTTAAAAGGTGACCTTCCACAAGGCAAGAAGATCACTGTTTGAATGGGCACAAATGATGGAAAATGCTTTGCACATTCTTAAGGTGACACAGATGATTTAAAATAAGCCGTAATGTTGAAAAAAACCAAAAGAAAAGACTGCAATATAAACAATGGAAATGAGTCACCAGAATCCTGAAAGCTCATTACTTCCCTAAGAATGTAGAAGATCGTCTGCCGCTGCCATCGCTAGGTTTCATCGACGATAGCCCGTATGAACTCATGTCATCGCTAGGTTTCAAACCTAATCAAATTAAATTGAACCCATATGAACCCAATTGCACCAAAACCAATCCTATTGGGATCAATCCTTATCCAAACAGGTCCAATTGGACCAATTCAGACTCAATTGAGTCTGCCCAGTGGTCTGCCAAAATTACACCAATAAGCTCAATTAAGCTCTCAAATGCACGTAGATAATAGTAGGATTAGAGAAAAGTCAATAGGAATTAATATTGTACTCTGTGATTCTCTAGACATGTAATAATGGTATGTTTAATTATTACTCGGAGTGTTTTTTTGTTTTCTTACCATGCTTTTAGTTTCGAATTTCCGGTTTAAACGTAATGTTAAACTAAATACAGAAAAAACTTTAGAATTTTTGGCCGATAAAAAAAAGAAATTAGGAATTTTAATTTGAGATTTGTTTTTTTTGTCAACTTTAATAATAGGATTTATTAGGATATTATATGATTGGGCCTGATCACATAACGGTCTAACACGGAAAGAAGAGTTATAAAGTCCAGTAGACACAATGAATTGGACCAGATTTGGTGTTGTATTGTTCGATTTGCATATATTGCATTATTGGACCACCACTCGTTGATGCTTTTTGTATAACTTGGGCTGGATTTGGTATTGTGTGGGATTGGACCATTATTTGTCAGCTCTCATTGGCTGACCCAAAATACGCCTTAAAAAAGTGCGTCTTCTACTGAACCAAAGGGTGTACGCAAGTTGTCACGAAATCAAAAGCACTCTTCAAATTAAATAACTAAGGGAGCGTTTCATTCAATTTATTTTTCTTGTTTATTATTTATACTTATTAAAATTAAATCGAATCAGATTAGGTCAGATAAGATTTAATCTGATCAGAGGATTTGTTCGGGGTCATGATTGGCTCGACAGTCTACTATGGGTAAAAATTATTCCTTCCGGACCAAAAAATCTTTATTTTTTGACTTCTTTTTAAGTCAAACACTGATTCTTTGACCATAATTGTAACGCCCCGAAACCTGGCCCAAAAGATTTAATTAAATTGTTAGAGCAACTGATTACGAATTGGGCCCAAAAAGGGGTTAAAATTATAATTTGGATTCTAAACCTAACTTTTATGTCATCTCGTAGGAAATATTTTTGTGATCGCGTCGGTTCAGACGGCTCGCGAATCGGAGTTATGGAGCTCATGTTATGACCATTTAATCAGGTATTTTGGGTCCGAAGCTCAATCCTTTTTGGAATGGGACCATTAAATAAACCTAAACATATTATCTACCACACAAACCTTATCTTCTTCTTCTTTCGTTCTTCTTCTTCTTCCGTCCTTCTTCTTCTTCTTCTTCTTCTTCTTCTTCTTCTTCTTCTTCTTCTTCTTCTTCTTCTTCTTCTTCTTCTTCTTCTTCTTCGTCTTCAACAGCCGCCATCATCGCCGCCCAAGTGCAGCAGCAAGCCGCCGATTGTCCTCCCTGCCGTTCGACCACGCCGGCGTCGCGCAAGCCAGAGCCTCCTTGCCGCAGCCAATCGCCGCCGCTCCGTCGCTCACCGCCAGGTCCAGCGCCGCCGACCACGATTCCCAATCTTCGAGCCACGGTCGTTGCCTCCATTACCGGCGTCGTTCTCGCCGTCGAGTTGCAACACCGCCACGCCGAACGCTGGACGTCGCCAAACGCCGCTGTTTCGCCTTCGCCGGAATCGAGCGCCGCCGTCGCCCTTAGCACAGCGACCATCCTCGCCGTCGAGCGCAATACCGCTGTTTCGCCTTCGTCGGTCGTCCGCCGCCGTCGATTGCAGCGCCGCCAGTCGCTGCTCATCGCCGTCGAGCTGCCGCTCCGCCACTGTCGCCGGCGTCCGTCACCGTCGCCGCATCCAGCCGCTGCCCCGAGTTGATATCGCCGGCAAATTAACCTCCACGCCGGATTGATTGGTCGATTTCGTATTTTGACTCAATTTGACCCGTTCGTTTGATTTCGTTGATTTGTCTTCCGTTCGAGCTATCGATTCGATTTCGGCGTAATCCAGGTCCGTACTATGAAGTTAATAGCATTTAGAATAGATTTAATGATTTGGATCGTTATATGTGTTTATGCTATAATTTGGCTAAATTGGTTAATTGAATTAAATTTATTATTTGAATTGAATTGTTGACGATTGTGAATTGACTGAACAGGTTTGACTTTGACTTGGGTTAGGTCCTGTTTGACTTGGACTTTGACTGGATATTCTGTCGACGTAGGTTTGACCGAATGGTTAAATCCAATACTTTAATGAATTAGTTAAGTTAATTAATTAATTCTAATCGGTAATTAGGGTCAATTGGTTTATTATGTTGACCATAGAAACTGGTCATTGCTCGGGCGGCTGCAGGGCCTGGTTAGTGAGGTTAAGACGTGCGCACGAGGGTCTGTGATCTTGGGTTTGAGGCTATCGCCCGAGGGATCCTACCTCCACCGAATTGAGGCTATCTTCGGTATTACGGATTGAGGTTATCTCCGTCATAGGCGTTAAATGTTAAGTGGTTTGTCTTTGGTGAAAGTCTAAATTGGTTTGACCGGTGGTCAAAGAGTTCATGAAAATAAGTTGACTGTTGGTCAACCGTCTAAAGAACCGAATTTAAAGTTGAATTGATTTTTATCAAAAGGATAATCATATGCACGATCTAATCATTGAATTATTATGTTTATTCTTGTGCTACAATGGAGTACCACTCAGCGTCAATGCTGAGCGGATAGCGTTGTTTTTCTTTTTGCTGTCCGTAGGTGATCAGACAGATGAACCTAGAGCCGATCCCAGAGGGCATTGAGGATGAGATGTACGATGGCGTGGCTGTCTCTTTAATCTGTTGATTATGCTTTATTTAATTAACTTTAATGCTTATTACGTTTTTGGGCAAGATCTCAAGTTGTTTGACTTTAAAAAGGCTTCCGCATTATTTTAAATTACTCCGATGGATTTTTATATGTATTGAAAGAACGTTTGTTTAAAATTGTTTTGAAAATGTTGCAAATTCGGATACCAATTCAGTGGCACACCGGTCCGCTGTCTCACGGGTTTGGGTCATGCGGGTTGGGGTGTTACAATAATTTTATGAGAAAAATATATTGAATGATAACATAAATTCATTGTAATTTTGTTCATCTTAGGATATTTTACCTTTGTGCCAAAGTATTCATCTAGTTCTGACGCTTTTTAATCTACTATTTTTAATATTTCACTTATAACTTAATAAAATTTACTCCCTCTGTTCCCTTAAAAATTCATGTTTTGACTTTTAGCCAAAATAAGAAAATTATAATTTTGGTTGACTTTCCAATTTTACCCCTGATATGATGAGTAAAAGTAAGATGTGATAGTTATTTTATTATTAAAAAAGTATGATGTGATGGGTATGGTATGAGAAAGTGAGAGTAAAAGTGTACTCCGTACTTTTTAATGCAAAAAGGAAGTTTTTTAGGGAATTAGAAAAAAATTAAAAAAGAAGGATTTTAAGGAACAAAGGGGTATATTGTATATTTATTATATAAATTCATATTTTAAAAATATTTCTTATTGTAAATCTAATGAAACTGCATTTGTATCAATAGCTAGTTCTCCCTTCGTGCCCGAGTGTTTGTCCACTTTTGATTTTTTCGATCAAAATTAGTAAAATTTCACCTCAAATTAAATTAAAATGATATTAGATATTGATACAAGAATAGTTTTATTACATTTATAATATCAAATATTTTAAAAATATTATTTTATCTAATTAATATATAATATATAATTTATTTAATTATAAGTTAAAGATTTAGGGGCTGTTTGTTTCAGCCTCTGAATGGTTCAGATGTCTGAATGATTCAGCACTTAATGGTTCAGACTGTTTGTTTCAGCCTCTTAATGGTTCAGACGTCTGAATGGTTAAGAGATTTGCCTCTGAATGGTTAAGTATTATACAGAGTCTGAATGGTTAAGAGCTGTTATCTGAATTGATCAGACATTTGCCTCTGAATAGTTAAGCAATATACTAGCTCTTAATGGTTCAGACCTCTTACTGGTTCAGCACTTAATGATTCAGACCTCTTACTGGTTCAGCACTTACCCATTCAGAAGTTGCCAAACAGTCCCTTAAAGT